TGTAGTTCCTGCCAAATACTCTTTGGAAATTAACTAATTTCCATTTGATAACTATGTGGGAACTTTCTGACAGTTTTAAAACTGTCATTTTGCTAATTGGATTTAGAAATGGGGATGATTCTCTATAAACTTCTAGGACTTCTTAAATTTCACAGGAATGCTAAACACAGTCTTCAGGAAAAAGTCAGTGTATTTCACTCTTCTTTGAGCATAGTTCTTTGAGCGTATAGTTCTCCAAATGCCAGGACGGTTCTGGTTCATGTCAATTATTATCTCTTCAGTGTTGTTCTTTGGTTGTGTTTGCTTTGTAGGGGGATTTTTCATTTTCATCTGAGTGGGTGCATATACTGAGGTTTGGCTTTTTTATGGGATGTCTGTGCTGGGAAAAACTATACTTTTAACTGCAGCCATTTTATTTATTTGATGTGTCTGTATTCTACTTGATAATGTTTTTAGAACATAGAGCAATATTGTAGGAAATGCTGAAGTTCTATGGAACTTTCAGGAAACACGGAATTTAACATAAGAACCGGGTCACAGCTTGCTCTGTGTGTAAAAATAAATTGAAAGAGGACAATCCATTAATTCAGCACTTGGCATGTTTCTCTTTGATCTTTCTCCAAAGCTTGCTGTGCTGTACATGCAGAATTCATCTTTAAGGAGAGAAGCAAGTAGATTTTGTTATAGAAGACTGTACAGTTGAGGAGAAAAATATTTAATTTCTTAATTACTCCATACCTTTTAGAAATTAGAAGACAAACTATATGATAGAAATAAAAAACTAGGGGTTTGGTGTGAAGCTGTGATATGACTTTACAGTTCTTTTATGTAGCTTCGGAATGAGCAAAGGGTAAGTCTGGAGTTTAAGGGTGTTTATGGTATCTGTGTTGAAAATCAAGATGCCAGAAGGAGAGACATTCTATTTTTGTTCAATTAATATTGGAGAGCGTTACATCAAAGCAGTAAACTCCTCTTGTATCAACAGATGCAGCAACCCCGAAGCCTATTTTCTCTCTTGTTACATTAGTGTTTAATTAAAGAAAACAACTAGTTGGAGGCAGTTACTTTCTGTGAAATGTAATGAAGATTTATTTTGTAGGTGACCTTCACTATATTAGCTGAATCAGTAATCAGTAAAATTAATAGAATAATCAAATTATATACAAACTCATAAATCACTGTGAATATGCTGTCAAAAATTCAGCTTTTCATATGTCCTATTGTTTCACAGCTGTATTAAAAATTACAACTGCTGATTCTTGTCTTGATGGGAACTGAAATGGCATTTAAAGACTGCATTATGGAGGGCTACCAGGCCAAAAATTTTCACAACTGTTAATTTAGCTGTAATACGATTTGATGTCACCAGGGCAAAGTTGAAGTGGAGTACAGTGTTGTTGCTATCTTTCAGCAAAACTTGAATTATTAGTGTAGGCAGTCGCCAGTTAATTAGAGTAATATCAGTTTAAATGTCTGTCATTTAGGGTTAATGGTATCAGAGAGTTGCCTTGTACTTGAAGTACAGTCAAATCATCTTGAATAGCCTATTGTATGAAAGTAATGTTAGCACAATGATTTTACTTTACCATAAATTATTGGGATGCCATTGAGTTTAATATTTCAGTTTCTATATTTAAATAATTTTTGGCAAGTTCTTCCTAATCATGTCATTTTTCATGCTAGGCTATTTTAATAGGTATTTTTGCCTCTTTGTAATTGTTAAACACAACACAATCAAAATTCCTTTCCATTTTCATTTGAAAAGAGAAGTTTTCCACTGGCCTACTCTGAAAACAGGTCATGCCCTCCTCCACTGGATAGCAGGCTGCTCTTGAAAATAAGTAATTCACATTTTTGTGCAGCCGAGCAGCAAAGTTCTTTCAAAGCACACTAGAAAAATAAAGTGCATATATTAAAAGCCCCTAACTGGTTGAAGTTAAAGGAAAAATATAATTTATAGTTTCTAATAGAAGAATCTCAGTTCTAGTTAATAGTGCTATTCTTATATACAGCATGTGAAATAAATTCATCTGAGTTGATTTGAAAGATCCTAATACATGCTTTGTCAGGCAAGAAGCCATTGATTGCAGCATTAGAGATAATAAGCCCACAGCTCAAAGCTCTGTAATAATTCTTCAGTGGATGTTTAACCTTTGTGTTGTCATCAACAGTCTTCAGAAAACCAAGGCTTGGATTCAACGTGGTGCAAATTCTCCCTGCTTTTGCATGGGTAAAGGAGGTATTTCTAGGGAACTAGATAATCTGATTCAGCCAGTTGTAAGATACTGATGAGCTCTCCTTGGGGTGCTGCCTTTTCGAGTACAGTTCCAGAGATGTGAGTTGGTAACACACTTCAGCTTTTTGCCATGCTGCATAATTCATGAAGTTTAAAAGGTATTACGATGCTAACTGTCTTTGAAATATATAGTAGGACTTTCGAATGCCAATATGGATTCCATTTTAGGAAGCCAGGTTCACAAATGAAAGTTCTCTTTTCAAGTTCATCATCTATGAAACAGATACCTAAAGATCTTCAAAATAAAATAAAATAAAAAAAAAAAAAACAAAAAAAAACACCTGTCAATAAACCAGGAAAATCCTGCTATCATCTCAGGCATCTGGGAGAGCTATGTTCCACCAAACCAGCCTGCCTTTCTTATATTGATGGTTTGCTTTGGCTAGCCTGACACCTAGCTAATACTAGGCAGGTATTAGAAATGTAGCCATACTAATCTGTTTAATTACAGTGTAAACTATAACAAAAGATAAACAGAATTACACATTTTAAATACAATGTCTAAGCAGTCCCTGGTAATGAAACAGCAGATAGGATCTGTAATTTTTAGGCCCTCCCAGTTTCAGCTCTGTTGTTCCATCTGTGAGCTTCACATCATGTAGCTTGGTCACACCCCAGCTTGGCTGAGTTAACAGGAACTCAGAAAACTCAGTTTCCATCTCTGACATGGTGAGATGGAGCAGTGTCACTGCACTGACTGTGCTACAGACTGCTTTGTGATTTAGTCACTGGAGGCTGTTTACTTTTGAATAATAGGGATCCCAGGAAGAACACAGGTGTGTTTAATTTGTAGGACAAAGGAGGAATTGTCAAATGGCACTTGGTAGCATTTGACAGTTGTCTCTGATAGAGCTGTCCTCTCTGAGAAAAGGTATGCAGTTTGTGTCGGTATGCCAGTTATTTGTTTGTTCTTTCTTTTCAATGTACAGGAGAAGAGGTCAGGGGTAGCTGACTGATCCAAATAAAAAATTACATTAAAGATTCACGAGAGAGATCGGACATTGCAAACAGTCCAAACCTGAAATTACTTTGTAGAGTTCAGGCACATCTGCCCCACCTTTTTTCTTTACCTTTTTCCACTACGTAATTTCCATGCTGACTGGAGTAAAGAAATCATTTAACATAATTTGAGAAATATATTGTAAAATGTTCTACTGGTTTACCTTTTGTCACTCCAAGTTCTAGAGAACTTCATCCTCCATCTTGTATTATTCTTACAATAGGAATGCTCCTGAAACAAATCACTGTAAAAAAAAAAAGCTGACTGGAGTTTATCTTAATTGACACGTAATCATGAAGCTTTGTGCTTGACAATCTCTAACTTATATCCTGTTTCTGGAGGATCCTGACTTTCTCTGCATTATAGTGGTGTCACAGGAAGTTTAAAGAGGTTTTCTTTAAATACATAATAAAAAGAATATTGGTTCTTTGTATTGGCTTGACAGGATTTTGAAGAATGTGGGGTTATATTAAAACCTTTCAGGAGCTAGAATTAAAAAAATGTTAAAACTAGTGATATCACAGTCATCTCAGTGTTAATGTGGGTCCAGTAAAAACTTCAGGCACCACATGGCAAAAACTAAACTGTCATTTTGTGAATTAATTTACCTTGTGTCACATCAAATCGTAGAAAAGTAATCCCCAGAGACTAAACCTGGCTTTTAGCAGATACAGGAAGTCAAGATGCAGGGATTAACCTGGGATCATGTTTACCACCAGACCAACCGAACTTCTACTGTGCAGCCTCACTGCAGAGCAGTTTCAGGCTTTGTGCATAGGAAGGAAAAATCTGGTGACAAGTTTTAGCCAGAGATAAGTACAAAGAGGTGATGAAACAGCCTGGCTAGTGTTGAAATTTTGCAGTGGGCTGCCTTCACATGTCCCCCATGTTTAAATGTCATTATCTAGTTTATTTAAATTCTAAGTCTCCTTAGTGTTTACAAACAGGTGAGTTGCAATACTGGCTTCATGTTTGGGAGCATTAATTTTCTTTGGTTTAGGTGTTGGGTTTTGGTTGTAAGTGGAAAACTGTGAAACAGCTTGGCGTCCTTTAGCTTTTGAAAACCGACCTGTCAACCTGGGTCCTGTTTTAATTTAGGATTTATTTTTTTTTATTGTCAGTCTAGACACAATATCTTGAGCAACAATATCATGATATGTTTGTAAGAGGTCATCTTTAGGTTGGAAGAAGTCTTCATTCTGTTGTGGCACTTCTCAGTGCCCTCAAAATCTGAGCTGTTGCTAGTTAATGAAGTTCTGATGGTACATTTTGTAAGAGTAGAAAAGTGCTTCTAGTAAGAGGTTGGGAAGGTTATCACGTGTTCTTACTTATTTTACAGCATGTGCAGTACAGCTTGGGCAGAATATCAGTAGATATTCTATGCATTGTCAGTAAATTGTCAGTGCTTTCCAATTCAAATGACTGAAATGGTAACAGAATGAGTGTTCAAGCTAATGTAATTATTCATAAGAATAAGATAGATGCTAATAAAAGAGAAGTTAACAACATATCCTTTAAAAAAACTATAGGACATTCTTTATTTTGATTGGTTTTGATTGTCTGAGTCAGAGATTAAGACGTCATTGAAAATGTACTACAACATGCACAGTATTTTGCCATGCATGTGACACACACTCACACTGATTACAATTGGTCATTATTAGGAGTAACGTTTGTTTTTATCCCCCCCCAATATGTTTCTAGGTTGTGTGCTGTATTTGGTGGTATCTATTGTCTTCGCCATTCTGTGCAGTGCCTTGTAGTGGACAAAGAATCTGGACGGTAAGGGTAATATAAGTAACCTTCTGTTTATATACAAAAATACAGATGAAAAATGTGTTAAGTCAATTTAAAAAAAATGATTCTTCAAAGATCCTCCTTGGTATTAATAACACATCAACCTTGATTAAAAGTAATTTGTGTATCGGTCCTCCAGAACAAGGAAAGTGGGTCTAGAATATAGAAACTAAATTAATTTCCCTGTGATATTACTACAGCTCCTGATCACCCAAGCTTGGAAGACAAATCATTTCAGCTGCCGGGGGGCTGGTGATGAGTGATGTTAGTTTTCCTTGTGGCCTTACCTACTCTAATTGATTTTCATCAGATGACAACAAAGCCCTCTGTTATTGCATTTTTAAAAATGGAGCTCACCTAAGGACTCATCAGATTAATCTTTGCTGATAATGCATGTCACTCCAAGAGAAAAGACTTTAATGAGTTTTTAGGTAGATTGTTGTCATAAACTATGCTGCCCTCTTATCCTAGGATAAATTCTTTTACAACAATATCAGGCCTGTAGGCAGGTTTAAAGTTGAGCTAAGAAAAATCAACCCATAGTTTTTTCCATGGCGGCATTTTTCACATCTCTGTAAATTGTCACAGTTTCTGTTGTATACTTTCAGTCAGTTATTAGTCTAACTGGAGACTTCAGATGTCTTGAGAGTCTGTTTCAAGCTTAATTTCTATAATAGAAAAATTCAAAGCATTCTGTAGAAAATTTTTAAAATTAAGCTGGAAAATATGTGGTAACATTTTATTAGGAAAATTAGCACTTAAATAACCAGTGTAATGTGTTTTCTTTCCAGTTACAGTGCACATTTGATTCTTTGAGCATGGTACTTGTAGCTTGATTTGTTAAGACATGGTCAAGCAACAGATTTGATCTTTGTTAGTTCCTTGAGTTTCTGGAGTTCGTTGTACAGTTCTAGACTTTGAGGTGCAAATGTTGTTGTTTTAAGTGCATGACTTACACACAAATGAAATTATGCCCTTTTCATAAACGCTGTACTTTAACAGTAGTATTTGACATTTTACAGTAGGCATCTTTATTTTACAAATACATTTAAATAGTCAACTTGTTCTTTCAGAGGGACAAAGCTTATTGTTGTTAGCAACTTCCAAACACCGCTCTAGGGAGAGCTTAACTCATCAGTGGTGTTGGTTGCCCCAAGAAGTTAGCAGCTTCCGTTGCACATTCTGAAGACCTCTGAAATTAATGTTTTCTTTGTTAAGCTCATATGTATTCCAAAAAGCAGGGAGTGCTGCTTTTCTTTTATCCTGCTTTTTACGTTTCAGACCCACTAAGTTCCTCAGGGTTCCAGATAGCTTTCAAGTGTCTTTTTTTAGCTATTGGGCTGCTTTAGGGCTTTATTTCTGCAGTTTTCAGTGAAAACTGAAGGATAGATTTTTGAGATGCAGAGTTACTAAAATATTTTTAAAAGACTTTACCAGACTTTCATTATTCAAAAAAAAAAAAGCTCTTTTAATAAAGACATGATCTGATGCTGAATATGAGAAGCACAGCCCACCCAGTTTCCCAAGGTTAGTCACCTAGGTTTTTCTTGGTGCCACCTGCCTGCTGCTGTTGGCTGTTTTTATGTCTCCCATAGTTCGAAAGCAGGTATTTTACCAAGTAGCATTTCTACATCAGAATAAAAGTAACGAACCAAACAAAAACATATAGACGTGTCAGACTTATTTGAGATAATGCAAATAACACGGCGTATGTCAAAATAAGTTTTAAAAAAAAAAGTATTTTCTGCAGGGAAAGTTGTATAATGTTCTCATTTTTCCCTAATAATTTCTTTTAAGTCCTAAACATTGTCTTCACCATAGCAATCGTGTTGCTCAAAAAGCTGAGTTTCTTTGACCCAGGTATATGTATATGTTTTTATTCAGTTATATTCTCTTATTTTTCTTTTCCCTCACTTGAATGCAGTACTGCTTTTTCTTGATAAGTCTTTTCCTTAGAGTATTACTTAGCAAGTTGTCCACTTTGTTGCTAAGATCTTCACTCTTACTTTCCCTTCTTTTTCTTTCTTCCTGTTATCTTTTTCCTTACTAGGTTATTTCCTTCCTGCACCAGCTCTGATTTCCTCTTTGACTTTGGGCTTCAGTGTTTTGCCTAATAAAAATCAGCTATCAAATTGTTAATGAGGGTATTTATGAGTTACTGAGCTTTTGAGTCAACAGGCCATTAATAGTAATTGGTAATAGAGAAATTCATATCTCGTTGTCATTACAGCTGCTGCTGTAGTTTCAGAGGCAGCTTCCCTTCATTACAAATAGGTTCAACTCCCAGCAGTAGAAATGTAGCCAAATTGCACAATATTCATTACTATTTCATAAGCATCTTCCATAGGCTTCCAGACGTCATCAGTATCTTAGTGCAGTTATTTTTTCATTACTTTTAATATTCTTTCTTTAGTACAAGTAGAAAAAGAAAATTTTTACTTGGAGTGATAGCCTTGATTTTATTTTCAGACTTTTTGTTGATAGTTTAGAGTTTCATAGGAGGTCCTTAAACATTACCAGATTTTATTCCAGCTCCTTTCTAGATGTGGCTAACATTCTCTTCAGCAGAAGGAAAATAAAACCCCATTCAATATCTAGTTGAATTTCTTTTGCACTTTTTTGCTACCCATAACTGTATATGCAGAGAACAGTAGATTTTATCCCCAACTACACAATTACTTTTATTGTTTTACTATAATCTTTTTTGTAAGATTTAGGGAAGACTGTGTGAAAGTAGAGAAGCTTTTAGATGGACCTATTTTAAGATTTTGGTAATCCACTTGAAAATGTCTTTTTTTTAATTTTACCTATTATATCAGATGAGGTCTGCCATTTAAGGCATACACAGACCATCCTGTGTTCATGATAGAACTCTGATGCTCTGTTAGAAAATAAAACCATGTCACATTCCTTAGGTTGAGAAAAAGGCACATCAAATGTACACATGTTAATTATTTTTCTTTCTGTTGTTTATTTTCTTCATGTTTGTTATAGGTCCCTTTTTTGGGTACATATGATAAAATTTAAAGTACTTTCAATTACATGGATTGCGTTCATAATAATGGTAGGCATTTTATGTTGATCACACTTTACATCTGTTTCCAATTACATAATTCTGTCTCAAAAATGAAAAAGATGATAAATGGAAATTTATACATCTGTAATAAAAAGGTATAGCAAACACATAGTAATTTACATATCTTTCTTGAAATATTGCATACTGGCTTTGTCAGTGCTAGTAAGTCCATTTCAAGGATGTCGCCCTTAGTCCATTAGTTTGGATAATGAGCCCTATAAAGTACATTTATAACTCGTGGCACTGCAAGGAGATGGATTCTAATTTTCATCCTTTTATCTAGACACATTGAAAGAAGGTCAATGGAGGGTTCTGTATGATTCATTGTCGCAACACATATCAGATGACAGAGACCTGATAATGTCAGTGCATAAGTGTTTTCTGTATTTGGAAGCAGTACTTGAAAGAAATTTTCTCAGCATCATCCTTTGAAGTAAAGTGGAGACTGAAATTAAAAGTGCTATCTCTCTGTTTAAAATCTTATCAAACATAGGATGTGATAGCTATTCCTGAACAAAGGAGAGGAAACAACACTTAGCAGGAAAATAAAAACTGTAGTTGCTTTTGCTGGCTTTGAGTGATGCTACATGACATTTAATCAACCTTTCCCCTTCGATAATGTGTAGGGGGGTGGCAGGGGAAATTGTTTCATAAACAATAAGAAAGGTTATAATTAGAAATGCACTGTAGCAGCTTGACTTCCTTGTTTATTTGCAGTATTCAAATGAGTGCCTGAGAATGAAATCACTTAGGTTAACATTAAGAAAAAACTTCTTAAAGTTACAAGTGAAACACATGTTGAATAGAATGTGATTGAAACTGTACAAAGAATACTATGTCTTTGAAGTTAAACAGTGCTTGGGCTTTTAGTCTTCTTTTAATTACTACTTTCAAGTTATCTGTTGAATTTGAATGGAGGTATATATGTACTATCTAGTTTCCTATGAAATCAGCGTTAGAGCTAAGAGTTTTTAAAATGTGCTTAATTGTCATAAACCTCTTACATTTGTAAGCATTGTGTGCATCCATCTTCAGTTTGCATTTCAGACTATGGAAGCAACTGGTGTACACAAGCTAGTGGCTAATTTGGTTCTCATCCCTAGCTATATAAATTGTTTTGATCACTGAAGTTAATAAAGTTACAGAAATGCTGTTTATTCATAAGGCATAATTTGCATGTCAGCTATTTACAGATACAGAAATAATGTTGTGCTGTGATAAAATACTTAAATCTGTAAGGGATCTCTGTCTTAGGCAACATTTTGTTTCTTCTGATATTTCTCTATGCATGTGTGTAAATGTCTGTGAGAGAATTTTTTGCTTTGAATCCTGTATATTAAATCTACTGAAACTATATATACTGATTCAGAAGAATTTAATTAAAAAAAGTAGTAACTTTCATACACCAAACAAAAGTTAAGTAAAGCTAATGGGCTTTATACAGTAAATATTCAGATATTTCAGAAAACCTTAAAATCTTGTTTTAGAAATCAGGTTTAAGCCTTAAAGACTCTTAGGTTATGGAAGCAAGCTATATAAAGAAATTGTAATGCACATATTTTGCTTGCACTTTAGATAGCAAAAGCATTCATCAGGATAGGTACTTCTCATACCTGTAAGGGTTTCTGAAACTATGATGTCTCAGTTTGAGGAAAATTATGTACAACTAAATAGAACACCTGTGCAATCAAATGCCAGTGTTATTAGCTTATATTTAGTTTTCCTTATAAAGTGACCAACTAACTAATGTTCTGGTATTACCTACAATGGCATGGCATGTAAAAAACTGTATATACCAGGTAGAATGTATGAGTCTAGGATTGAATTACCATTTTCAGTTAAGTTGGTTTAGGGGTTCACATGTTAAAGCAATGCGTAGTTAAGTTACTGAAAGATACAAATGAGATGCTGTAGAACTCAATTTTGAAAAGTTACACATGCCTTTGTTACCTTATGTCTAAATTTTAATTTTTTTTTTCATTTTGGCTTGGCTTTTTTAACAGATGCAAAGCTATTGTGGATCATTTTGGACAAAGAATAAGTGCTAACTATTTTATTGTGGAAGATAGTTATCTTTCAGAGAGCACATGCGCAAATGTGTGTTACAGGTATGTAATAAAACAGTAAAGAAAGTCAATCTCTTTAAATAATGGTGCGTAAAGTACCCTGTAAATTGAACTTAAGAGATTGTTGTTTCCTGCTCTATCTTGGCAGTACAGCTTAATTCAGTCCATAGTTTTTCTCTGCTTCTGTATACACTTGAGGGCAAACTGTATACTATTTTAGGTGTTTTTAAAATTGTCCTCTAAATCATAGTCCCCTTTTCCTTATTAAAAAATCCAAAAGCTAAGTGGGTTGGGGATTTCATATTTAGTAAAAGTGTTTGGAAGGTGGAGGTGCTTGCTGCTGTTCCCTCTTTAAATCTGGTCAGGTTTAGAAAAGTACTGAAAGACATACTTGTCTGTGATTTTTGTTTTCCTTGCCAAAAACATTGTACATATACAGCCTTTGCCTTTGAAATACTGCAGATGAGACATTGCCAGAACTGGAGTAGTAGTTGTGATGCAGAAAGAATTGTAGGCAAGGGAGGATTAGAAACTTCAGTTCAGGAACTCCACCCTAGTGTATTTCCCCATAAAATGAAGTGTCCTGTGCTGTTTGGAACATAAAAAGTCCTATAATGTGCTGCTATTAATCTTGCTCAAATAAACAAAAGTTTGTTTGTTTTTTCTAAAATGAGAAGGATATTCAAGGTAGTTCATAGAATGGCACTGGATCATTTATCCAATATCTGTTTTGGTGACTGAGAATACTACGTTTATGTTCTAGATGTGCTCCTTCAGCAGCAGGGCAGCATCCCACTAACAGTCATAGTCATAAAGATGGTATGGTTTAATAGCCTTCCCACAGTATTATGTTTAGGTTGGTAATGCCAAAACTAGGAATCCAAATTGCTATTTTTTAAGTTTTTGTGAAATGCCATAATTGTTTTATTTAATTGTAGGCAGATCTCCAGGGCAGTGCTCATTACAGACCAGTCTGTGCTAAACACAGATGCAGAGCAGCAGGTATGTATCAATTTTGTATTGCTTACTTCTTTATGAATTGTATGTATTAATATTTGGTCGTTTGTAGGATTTAGTTCATGCTTTTGTTTCTGCTTAAATCCAGCTTTTTGGTCAGCTCTCTCTGCTGATAATGGTTTAATTCATTAGTCTCTATAAAACTATTAGGACTTTTATTTTAGTTCAGTGACGTGGGTTTCCCTGTTTGGTTTGCTCTATCTTAACAGTTTCTAAGCTCCTGCCTTTAAGGTAGTTCATTTTACTTGCTTTTAATAAACTGTTGCCCCTAGTATTTTGTTAACTACTAAGAATTTATCTTCTCAAAACTTTGATCCAAGTTCATGTTTGTTTAGTTTTGGTTTTTTTTTAACATTCACTTTTAGTGCTCAAAGTTCTTGTTGCACACTTTCAGATCTTTAAATGTTTATGCTTCTTTAGTCTCGGCAGTCTTTAATTTTAAAGGATATTAATCTGTGTTAAGTGTTTCTTCTTACACTACAGAAGTGTACTCTTCTGTATTCTTACAGGTTAAATATGATCTACAAAATAAGAACAGTTATGAGGGAGTATTCCTCCTAAGTCTTGCTACTGGCAGACCAGTACTCCAGTCCTTCTCACCTAACAGTGCTCTGCCCAGTGTTCAAAAGTGATTTTGCAGTCTCTTGCTAAGTTTCTCAACTGTCATCCTTTGGAAAGGACTGTGGGTGTGAGGTTTTCTTTCTGTTCTGCTGCTGCAGACATTCCTTAACGTGGCTTTGCTGCCTTGGGTAGAAGCTCTTAAGTGCTCAAATTTTTCAGGATTTATTGCACAAATCGTTACTAATAAACCAGAAAACAAAATTGTTTAACTGGCTACAGATATTTTCCACCTTTACTCAGAAGTGTGTTGATTGCCTTATCCTCCATGTTACTCTGCTTTTTAACATGAGTTGTTCTTTCTGCTTGGCAGGTTTCCATTTTGACAGTGCCTCCAGAGGAGGTAGGGAAACCAGCAGTTTGTGTCATTGAGTTGTGCTCTTCAACCATGACATGCATGAAGGAGACTTGTAAGTACAAGATATCTATATTATTAAGTGTTTTTCTTTTTGACTTTAGCAACTCTAATGCAAAATTTAGAACGTGTGTATCATTTCTCTGCTGCACAATGACCAGGCTGTTACCTGAGAAAAAGGTTGTACTATGTTACTGTGATCAGCAGGTGAGAAGACTAGTGCGTTGTCTTCATTCCATAGCAGTTGTGTCCTGTTTCATATGGCTTAGGAATAATAGTACAATATTCTTGTTGCCTTTTTTTTCTTAAATTTACATGCGATAATTATTTATTTAAAGTCTTACATGATTTTCATGGTAATAAAGTTATTGCTGTTTATTTCCAAACAGATCAAGTGTCTGATGTTCCTTTTAACACTTACATGGCTAATAAGCTTGATAGTTGTAGTCTTACTAATACTGGGAGAATATTCTGTTCACTGTACAGAAATCATAAAATAGCACCAACAAAGAGGTTTTTGTTATGACCGCTGTAATTTTGTCCTTTTAGATAAAAAGCATTCAAATTCCACATTTTGATTATTCTGTAAAGTTGTTAAAAAGAAACGCAGAAGAATTATTAGAATGGCAGGTAAGGCTAGTGAAGAGCTCTGGCAGGCTGTGTCTTCTCCACTGTAACTAGCTAAGATCGTGCAGTTTTCAAGTCAAGATAATAAGATTTTTTTCAACTTAAAAATGTTTTCTTTGTAAAATTTTCTGCCAGGAATTTCTCCACCAGAATTACAGGACCACCTAAAGTATTTCCTCAAATCATTTCTGAAAAAAAACCTGTAAGCAAAAAGGTGGGCTCTTAGTTAACATAGATGTATGTTTGGGTTTTTGTATGGACTGCCATACTGACCTATTGAAATGCCTATAGTACACTATATTTGGGGCTTTTTATCTTCTGAAAGTTTTGGTGGAGGTGAGATTATGTCCCATTATGACATTTGGAGGGAAGGAGTGCATCATGATATATTTGAGGTGAGGTTATAGAAGTTCTTTTAAGAACTTTATTATTGTCATCTGCTGCATTAGATTCTTTAAAAATGACCCAAGAGCTCATTTCTAGAAGGGCCATCCCAGTATTTCCATTAACAGTTTTATATGTACAGAGAATGTACATAGAACTTTTATGGCTCTGTGTTGGTATTTTATGTGAACTTAAAATAGATGAGCAGCAAAATGTTCTTACTGGGTATTTATTTTTCATTCCAAAATCTTCTGAATTCTGTGAAATAGATTACAATTTGGGACACTATGGAAGATAAATAAAATTAGAAATTAGCTGACCTAATGCTTTTAAACAAAAATAAGTAACTGTAATAATAACAACCAATTTATTTTACTGTTACTTAGTCTTGAACTCAGTTCTTTGTATATGAAAGAAGAGTGAACTAAATGATCATCAGTCAAAGTTGTATTTTCTACTTAAAAAGAAAGTTAAACCTGTAATTCAGTAACTCTGTGCTATAGAGCATATTGTTAATACTTATCCTCTAAGTAGCCATTTATTTAAAGGTCCACAACATGTATATAGCATGAAAAGAAACTAAAGAAGCATTGATGTTCAAGTTTATTAGTTTCATGAGAATTTCTGTGGTGCCAGTTAGCGTTTCTGGTATTTTCTATTCTCCCTAATTTCTTTAATTTCAGAAGAGAAGGTATTACATTCCTTAATTAAATTTGTCTTCATATATTGAAGTAATACAGTTTTGTTTTAGGTATGGCTGAGTTCTAGTTATGGGACATATTTCATAATCGTTTCTAAAACTTTTACATCATTATCTGGAAATGGGTTTTAACCTGACTGATTTCTCCTTCAAACAATTATTTAAGATAAGTATACAAATACATCTACTCTTTGATCACGCTGCATAAATGACAAGCACATAATCTGTATTGCCAGTTGAGTGGAACCAAATTCCTTCACTTGCCCTAAAAATTGAGACTGTAATGATGAAATCATGAACTAAACTCATCGTTCTTCTTGCTAGAAGAATTACCTGAAGACAAATGTTGGCAACCACTGTAACTAATGCAGTTATACCCGAGTAAATCAAATATAATCAAAATACATACCGATGACTGTGACTCATGGCCATAACCTTAAGGATAATAAAAAAGATTTTATAGAAAGCAAATGATGTGAACTTCATGATCATGATTTATAACTGAGTGTTTTTATGGAAAGAATAGATTGTATTACAACATTTGGGATTGTAAACATTTAGTTAAGGTTATGGGGAGGCTTTTATTATCACTGCCTGTTTTGTTTTACCTTTCTTTAGTACATATTCCTTTTAGAAGGTTTGGTTTTGGTTATAAGCTCTGTGTGCAATCTGAAAGAAGAGAAGCACAAAGGGTTAAATTTCTTGTCCTCCTGGAGTCAGTGTCCAACTTTATGTGGCATAACCGCAGCCAGGTAATCATTCAAGATATATATGATGTACTTGGAAATAATGACACAAATATAGCAAGACTTCAGAGTGAAAGAGAAAAATGCCATATGGATTTAAAATAGTACTATAGGTATGCATTGCTATGAAATTAATCAGAAATGTACAGCAATGAATTAAAAATGAATCAGTTTAAACTTTGTACAAAGGTAAGTTAAACTGCTTTGTGATTCTCTGGCAGATACTTCTCTGCTGAGAAGTTTCCTGACAACTGTTCCATTAAGGGGGTTTTATAAAAAGCTTTAAGATGAGGCTTTTAAATATCTGAATCAAGGGGTGTAAAATCCGATGGGATAAAGTAGCAATGTAGTTGCTTCTGTACCTGAATGGAGACAGTGGAACAGCAAAGAGGTCAAGAGCTGCATCAAGTGGTTATCTTTTCATCCTTACCAAGGAGTCAGAATCTTCCCTAGTTTGCCAAATAGAGCAAATAAATAATTAGTATGTTCCATGAGGAATGTGTTTAGCAACTTTATTTTCATGAAAGCAATTACATTAGCAAGGAATCTAAATATCAAATCTGCGTTATTCAGCAAAACTCTGAATTTTCAAAAATACAAAATTGGATTTAGTGACATTGATTTGCCCAATGAATGTCCTTGCTGTAAGGTGACATTTGGTTAATTATACAGTTCCAGAAATGTGTCCTTGTGGTCCAAAATATTTTTATGTCATCTTTTTACAATATGGGCATCTTTTTACAATATGGGTTTGCTGTACTCTGGGATATTTTTCTGATGTGTACAAAGCATCTCTTGGAATCAAGTACTGAAAATCAGTTTTGCAAATTACCGTACTCCCTCCTGGCCCCCTAACCTAATTTCACCCTTACCCAAGCACAGAACTGATGTTTTCTCCCATCCTGTAAGAAGGTGGGTGAATAAAATATTGTAGAAGTTTTTTGCTATGTTGTACTAGGGGATTGCATGTATTACATCAGAGAACAGTTCTCTGATACTCAGGAGTGCTTATCTTTAAATTCTTTCTAGTCTGTGAAAACATGACAGTGTTCCTTATTCTCCTTGTGGCTGGAGGGAAATAGTTAACTGCCAGCCCACTTGAGCTGTAACTTCAGACATGCATCTGTTCACTTCATCTCCTCTTCACTGTTTAGTGCAATAAAAGAAATCAAAGTCTTGCTCAAATTTTTTACTTCAGTGGAGAAAAATGGTTTCCCCCTTACTCCTGTACAACCAAAATTCCCACAGAGTCCCACTTCAGCTCTTAAAGCAGAGTTCCGATGCAAGTAGTGGTATTTGTGGGTTTGGTATGTTGTTGAGCTATTGGCAAATACGATGTGTTACCCTGATTCTTGCAGCTGCTTTTCCTGATATCAGTAGGCCCCTTTTCATAGAATGACATTCTCTGCACTGCTGAGGTTAAATGTTACTTTCATCTTGCCACCATACATGGGAGAGAGGGATAATTGAGATGTATTAAAAAAAATTCTGTGTGTGGTGTATAAAAGCTGTATTTCTCTGGGTTAAAGCGAGTAAAGGAGTTCTCTGGGTTAAAGCAAGTGATTTATATGAAGAGCCGTGATTTCTAAGAGTCTGCTGTGCCTTTTAAAAATTGTAAATGATATTTATATGTCTGTGTATTGGTGATTGTAATTAGATTGTGTTCTCTTTTAACAGATTTAGTCCATTTAACCTGTCCATCAACTAAAACTGCTAGGGAAGATTTAGAACCTGTTGTACAGAAGTTATTCAATCTAAATGCAGAAAAAGGTAAAAATAACTGAAGTATTAAAAGCTTATTTTTAAAAAATATAATTTAACCTCTTACCTAAAGTATCTGTTAATGCACATCTGAATCTGTCATCAGAGTCAGCATATGGTGAACTGCTATTTAGGTATCAGCCTTTCAAAGTAAAGGAATCTATTTTGAGAGTGAGATTGATTAGACAGATGTCAGGGTTTTTCATTATCTAATATTCCAAGTCATCTTCAGCTGTGGTTTAACTTCAGCATACAGGGACCATGGCTGTGTCTAGAACCTTTTTAATTTTTATGCTTGGTTTTTTTTTCATGGAAACATATTTGCTTTTCAGCATGTCTTGCAAAGGTGCAGCAGTGACATGAAGTATTTGTGGATCTGGTTTTTCGCGCTATCCCATTTTTAGTGATTTCTATCACTTGGGTATTCATAACAAGTTATCAAAACCCCAGAAGTTAGTGATCTGCTTTTCTTCTCCAGCTGCCAGATGTGTATTCAGTGCTGTAAGCTTCTTAAGTTTTCCTTTGACTTCTTTTATTCTAAGACTGTCGCTTATCCTTTTGTTGTCTTTTTCAAAGTGCTTCCTTGTTTGCTGTTGTTAGTTGAAATTCTCTCGATTCTGCTTTAAGCAGAGAAGCATAAAGTTGTTACACACTGCAGTGTTACCAGGAAGACAGATTTCCAGAAATTTCCAATAATGAACTATTTGGCCCTTAATTTAAGGAAACCTTGCCAGCTACTTTCATGAACTTTAACCTTGAGATGAACAATTTCACAGTGCCAAAGGAAAGTAGCTGCTGACAAAGCAATTGTTGCATGGAAAGAAATGTTCCCTGAGATTCTTTGAGGTAGTTCCCTGAGATAGTTCTGAGGTGGTGTCTTGAAATCTAATCCCAAGATCTTGAATTTAATCATATTTTTGGTAGCTGGTAAGAGGGTAAGTACTGTGCACTTGGAAAATGTTGCTGTATTGTAACCCTGGCAAAGCATTTTTAAATGTAGTGCGCTCATACTTAAATACAATAAATCATAGGTCTTCTATGAGAAACTAATACTTAGCTGTCAGGGGAAGTGTTTATGTTTGTCTATACTCAGGTTAGTAAGATGTGGAAGTATTTTATAATATTTATAATTGGTTTACTTATGTAGACTAAAACCAGGGTTAGAAAACAGAAAACTTTATTCAATTGGAGAGAGCAAACACTTTTTATATTGATGTTTATTAATCTAATGCCTGCTAATTTCCAACTTTTAATATTTAACATATATCTTAAATTTTCAAGACAGTGCCATATGTTTCAAAGACTCAATAGATAAAGAAAAGATTACCTTGCAGTTTAGTGTCTTCTAATCATTTGGGGGGTAGCATTAATCTTAATGTTTAAAGTGATCCAGTTTTGAAATGATATATTGTTTAGAACCTGACTGAAATTCTTCTGTAGAAACTATGTGATCATAGGGGTCCTCAGGTGCACTGAGGCACTGAAAAGCTAGTTTTCACTGACACATAGGCCTTTTTATCATCAGGATGAGGTAGTGGTCGTATTTTAATTAAAATGTCAGAACAAATACTGTTGGAGTTATTGAAAATGAATCACCAGATAAAGTGAGCACTGGGCCATGGCAGGTCAAAGAGGCAAAGTCACCTGGAGAAGAGGACTCCATTCATTTTCCTGCCTAAATGAGGAAGAAGTAACTTTTATGAGCAATGTGAACTTTTCAATATATTAAAGAGCATCTTGCCCTGTATTAAGGCTCAGACTTTCACAGGCTGATGAATTTAATTTATATTTCAAACTGTTCAGTATGGTTAGCACTTTTTTTTAAGTGTTTGACAGTTATAAAAAGATGCTGAAGGAATAGCATCAATTTATCTCTTTTTTTCCTAATTCAACTGCTTTAAAATACAGTTTTGAATGCCATTGTTATCTAGAAGTTTCTTCATTGGAAAGAAGTAAATCTCACAAGGTCTTTTACAAGCTTCATTTGTTTTAGAGGAGGTAAAACATCAAAAAGGTAACAGCAAATATGCCAAACAAATAGTACCTATTAAGCTAAAAATCTATATTGTGTATTCCTCCATTGCATTCTGCACTTCTAAAAAGTGACCTTCATCTTCCCAGAGGGTTTTCTGCCTGTGTACAGAGGGGTTATATGAATGTGCAAAGTAACTGCAAGAAAGTACAGATGATGAACAAGCAGGATGTAGTTAATGATTGTTTTGTATTCTTCATAAGTATTGTAGCACAGTGTAAGCCCTCAGTAAGTGTAGATAAATAGAAATTAATTCTTTATTTTCACTTAGCAGTAATTCCACCATTTAGAGATTCTCAATACTGTGTATCACACGTCTCAAATAGAGTACTTCTGGGTTTTGGTAATTATTTATCTGCAGTTAATTTGGGGGAGAGGTATTCTTTGTGGATTTTTCTTTAGAAGTTCATTTATTTAAACCATAAGCATTAGTTACTTTCCTAGATTGGCTTCAAGACTTTCAATCTTAAAGCTTACAAAGGTCTGTTAAGAGAAGCATTTCATATAAGTTAAGCTTAAATGAGGGAGGAAAAAGTTACACATTAGAAATATCTTTGCATGTGGCTTCAAGTTGAGACAGCCAGTGGAAGAACTGTTCAGACCATCATATGCTCATGGATTTTATCCAGAGTAAACTAGATAATGTCAAGTGGAAGGGTGTTAAATTTAGACCAAATTTCTTGGTAGTATGCTTTCATGTGATAGTTGGTTCTTATACAGCATAGTGTGTACAGAATAAGTGGAGTTTACATACCTGTGGTTTCAGAGGACAAGTATGATGAAAGACTAACTCAGAGAAGATTGGAAAGTAAAATTAATTGGGTTTTTAAAGAAAAAAAAATTGCAATAATTCCATGTTTATAAATTGACTTTTAGAATGCTAGCTTACATATTTCCCTTATTACAGATAGAATCGGAGAATGGTTTGGATTGGAAGGGACCTTAAAGCTCATCCAGTTCCAACTCCTTTGCCACGGGCAGGGGCACCTTCCACTAGAGCAGATTGCTCCAAACCCCATCCAGCCTGACCTTGAGCACTGCCAGGGATGGGGCAGCCATCATGAACATTGATTATTTGAAACACTGTTTTGTTTTGTTTTCCAGAGACTGAAAATGAAGAACTGGAAAAACCCAGAGTGCTCTGGGCCGTCTACTTCAACATGAGAGATTCTTCAGGAGTTGAGAAGAAGTCATACGATGGCTTGCCCTCTAATGTTTATGTCTGTTCTGGACCAGACTCTGCTTTAGGAAATGACTGTGCTGTTAAACAGGTTTGGTTTTTTTTGTTAAACAGATCTGTGGTTTTTTTTGTTATAGAACTTGAAAGACCTAAGGAAGTCCAATGCCATCTGCTGTTGTTCAGGTTTTTCTCCTTTAAGCTATGTAATTAGTACTAATACAGCTGTAAAACTTCACAGCTAGATGTACAAGAAGTCTTATTTAATAAGCAAAGTGATTGAGAATGGAGGAAACTTGAGAAAAGGTCAGATGATACAGTAGTATTAGGAGTAGCAGATAGTTAATCTGAACAGGTAAAGGGAACCTAGAAGGTAGCAGTACATGAAGATGATGGTCTTGGTAGAATGGTTAATTTCTTTAATACTGTAGAAAGGAAGAACTGCCAAATAACTCCAAAATACAGATAACTCCCCAAAATATGTAGCCTTTCACCTGTAGGGTTAGAGAGGAAGTAGAGTAGTAGAGAAGCAGTAGAAATTAGAGGTCAAAAAAGCCTGTCTGGAGTTCAAGTTGGAAGGACGATCAAATTAGTTTAACAGCTGCAGGACATAGTCACAAACCTAAAACTTTTGGGGAAAAAAAAAATCCAGCATAATTACTACTCTGGTACATTAATCTATCTCAATTTATCTTTTCTTTGCTTTAATACCCTCATATTAAAAAAATATGGTCTGTGTCTCTGGAGGAATTGAGGGGGAATGTCACTTGAGATAGTATTTGGCACCAAGTCTAAATCAGTTCTGATTGTTAGTTCTCAGTATTTGGCTACCTACATATCTAGCTCCCGCCAACTGCAATCCTGAACTGAGAACCACTTGTAACTTGCCTAGTGATAGGCATACCATGCCAGTACTCAATTTAAGGCAAACTACTAGTGCTTTGAAATTGGAGGTGAAGAGTAAAAGCTCCCTAAACAAAACTAGGTAGATGAACAGATGATGAAATAACCACCTTCTGTGTTGGCAGTTGGCAGAATATGCAGGGACACCAGTAGGTGTACATAGAAATTCACAGTGAGCTTCCTGTCACACCTTTGTGCCTTCCCCACTACTGTTGAGCAGAAGACAAGATCATGCAAATAAATAGATTATGACTTGTGCAACAAAAGAGATGCTTCTTTGCTCTTCCATTCAGAGATCCACCTTGATATGGGATGTATAAATTCCTAGGCAAATCTACCACTGCAGTCACTATAATGTTAGGGTGGTTTCAGTGCTAACCTGAGTACACTTAAATCTTTGTAGAATTAACTGGTGCTCGTTATTTTTAAAGCTGTAGATTTTTAATGGCCGTGTGCAGAGAATGTGCATGCCATCTTCTAACCAGTTGTAGGGTTTTTATATTACCAAGTCATAAACCTCTTAAAAATAAGATTTTAAAGTGCAGAGGCTGACATAGCCTGAACTGCAGGGTCAGAACAGTATAATTAAGAGCTAATAGTACACTCCATTTTGCTGTACAAGGCAATAATTTGCTTCCCAAGAGGATGAAAAACTGTAAAAACAAAAATAATACAAGACAATTATTATGGTAGCAGTTTTAAATTGTAAATTAGTTCTTTTCTAACTGAGATTTTTTTTTTTACTATTATTATTTAAAACAGTGTGAGCTAAAAGCTGTTTAAATAGACTTAAAGCCCAGCCTCATTCTGATTTTCATAGCCACCTTTTCTAGCATTCAACTTTCTCTACCTGAAGAGCTCTTTTTCTTACCAATGAATAATGGTATTATAGATCAAGCTGTGTTTAAATATTCTAGGTACTGTAGTCAGCCTTTGTATTAAATCTGTTGACCATCAGTGAGACAGATTAAAACCACCCACTATGTGTGTTAGTCTTGAAGATAGCTTGGAAAATTGAATCTAATTTCTGAAATCAATTCTATGTTTACTGTTTTAATGTTACTTCCCATGATTTATGTTTTCATTACTATTAGTATCACTAACTTCTGTACATCATGCTGTGTGACTGTATTGAAGATACGTTATTTAGAAGGCAAGACACCACAACTTTTACAGACAATTATCCATCTGCAGCTCGGTACACAAATGACTTAATTATTGTTTTATTTTAATTTGGTGTTAAATTCTTAGTATAATATTGAATTAATTTTGATGTCTGTGTTTACTCACCCCAGGGATAGGCTAAATAAAATATAATGTGCCGTTTATGATTTCTTTAAATTCTGTGCGTAAGATCAAGTAAAGCATCTGGCTTTAGTTTTCTATTTTTTTCACTGCTACAATCAGACATGAATTATTATGTTCCAGAGTAGTATGTTCTCTCAGGTATTTCAGATTTCTGAGGCATCTTTATGTTTATAAGAGAAGCACTAAAATTGTCATGCCGATGTGTTGTCCTTTAACCTGTTTACTGGAAGGATTTCAGAGTTACTCCAGTGTGTTGTATTTCAAACTACTGTTAGTTTGGTAGTATTTTCTCTAAAAGTTGCTCTGAAAGCTCGTATAGCTTGTCTACACACCATCAAGTTGCGAGGCTGGGGTACAGTAAAACAGTAACAACACATAGTTTTATTCAACTTCAAACAGCTATTAGAGTATCCTATGCTAGTGCTTTACATGCTTACGTCTTAATGCTTAATTCAAACATAGACTCTTGAAAGCTGGTACACTTAACTACTAAATATTGCAGGAACTGTTTGCTAACTTAATTAGCTACAATAAGTGTCAAAGTGTTATAATGAAGGAGCTGTTAAATTATTATTGGTTGTTCTGCATTACTTCAGCTGGGTAAGGTTAATGTAAAAAATTGGTAGACCTAAAAGCACTCTGTAGCATTAAATTTTTCAGTTACAATCAATGTTACGATGTCCCCCAGAACATCCTGAGAATTTATTTCCGTGTTCAACCTCGTAATGACGTGACCACTTTTGGACTGACCAATTGAAGAGTGAATAATTGTTAAGAACTGCATAGAAAATGTTTGCTCTCATTTGCAATATATTTAGTGCAAAATATGATACCCGTCTTCAGTATTCTATTAAATATAAGAGTAGCGCATGAAACTCCAAAAGTAAACAAGTGCAGATGTGAAATCAAAAGTTTTTTCTCTTACCCTCAAAAAACAAGTTTTGTAAACTTTCTGTGGGATATTTTTACCCCCTTGCCTCCTAAACTTACTAGGCAAGGTTTTCAAATTGAAAAACCGTATTTTTTAAATAGAGCTTTGATTCTTAAATGTATGGTTTTTTCACATATAAATAGTTTTAGACAGGTTTAAATGGGAGTGGGATAGTGAAATTTGAGAAGCAGAATGAAAAATTAAATTGAACTGAAAGTAGACAGAGTCATTAAAGCAGTTAAGAATGGAGCTCTGCATCCACGTGCTGGTGTGATACAAGTACAGTGGGCAATGAAGTTTATCACAGAAAGCTGTTTGGTACATGCTCAATGATGTATTAAGCTGAAAACAATTCCCTCTTGTCCAGGAATCCTCATCATGTATCAGCCTTTGCAGTTGGCATTAGCTGACCCTACTGTCAGCTTTTTCAGGGCAGTATCCGGTAGCAGTATGAATATAAAGATTAAATGCATTCTTCCTTATGAGGGAGCTCTTGTCATAGGTCAGCTTTCGGGCATAGTTTACTGAAGAGACAAAATCGAGGCAATATTCCTTTGCCTTTTTAGAAACCCAAAACAGCTGTGACCTGCAGCAGTTGTCCGTGTTTGCCTTAGAAGCTTAAGGACTTAAGAAAACAAAACCTTTATGGAAATGTGAAGTGCATTCAGTAAATAAATTCCTCAGTGTCTCTAGCTTGCCTTTTTCTTTTGTCTTTTTAAGATAAGTTCACAGGTAAGTTGTTTGCACAAGACCATGTAAAACTCTTAACAGCAGTTAACAAAGCTCCTTGCGTTCTTGTGGCGTTTTAAAAGCTTTTTTTTTTTTTTTGCCTCCTTTGTTTTTATACAGTGTCTGGTTCTCAAGAATTCTGAGATCATATTATCTTGGTTCTTTTTCTCCCATATTTTTTTAGTTCTAGTCTGTTACAACTACCCTGATGTTATCAAGAACATGTTTCTTTTTAATGTCTTTCATTACAGTGGTCAAAAAACCTGACTTTTTTTGTGTACTTGATTTCTAAACCTCGATGGCATGAAGAGTAACTGGCATTGTAAATCAAATCTTTGAGCTGTATCTTAAGAGTAGCTGTCTTTTCATCTAAATAGAAGTTGCTTATACTGTTCCTTTTGGAAAGGCACTCTTTGGGCACAGAGGTTTACAGACATAATGCATTGAAATGATAGGCATGTTTTTTTTGAGTAAACTATGAATGTATACAAGTATGCACCTATATTCAATAATCATATTCCACTGGATGAGAATAACTTGCCACTGAGGCACGTATGAGCTGTTCACAAAAATGGAAATAGACATTTTTCTGTATTTTTTAAGTTTATGAGGGAAACCAACAGAGGTACGATGTAGGTTGTATGTATTAACAATTTCATGGGTTTGCTCGTTATGTGAAATGGATTCTTCTCTCTGGAAAAGAGATGGGATATTTTTAAAGTGCAGATCAATTTGTTTGCAAACAATCCCGTTCTTTATTCTCAGTACAGTGTAGAATGAGCAGAATTTTTAAAAAAGCCCTATGCTGTCATTTTCATGGTAGAACGATGTGAAAAGATGATGGCTTTTTCTTTTTCACGGGCTGCAAGAAGGGATGGATTTCCTTTGTGTTTACAGTACTGCCAAAGTATTAAATCACCATTGATTTGAAAGAACGGAGATTAATCTGAAGTATCTGTAAAATATTGCTACAAGGTATTGCGTTTCAAGGTAACGTTTCTTCTATGCTTTTTTTTTTCGGAATAGGCTGAGACCATTTTCCATGAAATGTTTCCTACAGAGGAATTTTGTCCACCACCACCGAATCCGGAAGATATTATTTATGATGAAGATGAGATTGCACCAGAAGAGTCTGGATTCAGTAATTCCCCAGAGACAAAACCTGAATCCTCAACTGAGGAAAGCAGTAGCGGAGGTAGTAGTGCTGTTAAGAAGGAAGATAACGAAGAATGAGTTAACACTGTTCTCTTAGTAGAAGAGGAGGTTGACCCAAACTAGAATGTAAGGGAGGAAGGGTAAGAAAAAGAGGTTTAAAAATCCCATAGCTGTATTATTTGCAATTGCCTTACTTTCCTTAGCTTGAATAATCTTTTTTCATCAGATAGCTTCATTGATAGCTGAGACATTTCTAAGTAGGTCCACCATATCCAGGGGTGTTTGTAGCTAAGCAGAAAACATAGAACAAAGCATTTGAATTTAAAATGTTAAAATAGGATTTATGATCTGTTGAGATAATTTCTTTTCATTTTACATCTTGAAAGGAATCCTCCACCTTTTAAAAGTGAACAATTTGAAACTAATCAAAATTGTGCAAGTTTGTTTACCAGTCAGATGATGATCTTGTGATAGAATGTATCAAAGTTCAACTAAAAGTCATTGGACCAGTGCTAATGAAACAGTGGAAGGTGAGCTTCACAATCTGTTCTTCAAAGCGGTTTTATGAATGGAACTTAAAGGCAATATATTGACAGTTCTGGAGTAGGTTTAGAATATGTAATAGATGTCATGTTTAATTTGTATAATGCAAAATTTTTGTATAGTTCTAAAACTGATGCCGTAATTCAGAAGCAAATGCAACCCAATAGATGTTCCTCACATGAAAATATTTTACGTTTGAATTTTATTTTTGTTCAGTAAGGCTTAATGGATCATTCATTGTCACTAGTGACTTAATTTGCTGTAGTCAGGAAAATAGCACAATTTAAACTTCATGCAAGAATTCCCAACAAAATGTAAAATCATAAATGGAGTGTACCGGGTGTTAGTTGCCCTGGATTTGTTGCAGTGTTTGGGCCTTTAACAATTAACAAAGTTAATTTTTTGAAGTATGATGTCTAAGAAGTTTAGATGATGATTAGTTGAAGGGTTTTGTAGCAGGGAGAAGGTTCAACTGATGATTCCAAAGGATTTTACTGATCCTGGTTAATAGGATTAAAATTAGCATGGTAGCTGTAAATGATGTGTTTTGTAATGATAAATCATAAAGCATTTATACAATAAAATTTATTGAAATATTTATAAGCTGTTTGTATGAAAAATTACAAAATGAGAAAGCTGTTGTAAATGACTATGATAAACTTGCACTTCTGAACAATGCTTGAAATTAGGCATTCAGATGGTGAATAACATTTAGAATTTACTTAAATCTTTACCATAAAATGTGCACCCAATAGATGAGTAGTGTATCGAAATAAAGAGACAAGTGATTTTTGATGAGTCAGGGTTTAAACTTCTTCGTTAACTTAGCTCTAGTTCTAGCAGTGCTTAAATACTGTGCGTAACTAGAAAATGCCATTGAATAATGAATATTCAGCACTGCCTGAACTTGACACATCCAGACTTTGTACGGTTCCGTGGTGCATGTGCTGTGCTTGCCTTTAAAATGGCTTCATGCCATAAAGGTTAATTTATTTATTTTTTTTTTACAGCATTACTGATCCTTACCTTCACTTGCATCATAATACATTGTCCGGTTTGCATTTCTAAACTTGGTTTATTAGTGTTTGCAGTTGTTCTTTACTGGATACGTACCATTGTGTTTATAATCCCAAAGTCCTCAAAAATATATGTGGTTGAAATGTTTCCAATGTTAAACAACAGTTATCTTTGGATGCTTGTGATTGAGCAGTTATTTATACATAGTAATAAGCAGACTGCCTCTTCATTTAGCTGTAATTTTTACATGTATTGGAAAGCATGAGTATATGGTAATTGTATTTAACATCTAGAGATCTGTAAAATAACTAAGGGGAGGACCTTGTCCCTGTTTGTCGTTCAGTAATAGAGATCATAGTTAAATTTTTCATCTTCTGTGTTTACAGGGAAATTGTTTGATGAAAATTAAAGGTTTGCTTGCAAGCAGATTTTCTTGTGTTTTCTTTCAGTTACACAAGAGAAGCAGTTCATTTGTTAGCTGATAATTCTGTTGTCTGCTTTTATAGTGTTGACATCTGTAATAAGATTGAAATTTGCATGGGTGATAGTATGTTTCTATAAGTTAGGAAGTTTATATAGTAGCATCTCAGTGCTTCGTGTCCATGTGAAGCAAAGTTTGGAAATACTGCAAATTTGATTTTAGATAAGATGGAATAATCTGCAAGTTGTAGACTGTGACTTTACACTACATTGATTGCCTAAAAACTGTTTTCATGTCTCGTTCGTATGGTGAATGGAAACATAAAATGTTTTCTTATGGTACTTGAGTACCCAATAGCTCACTTGCAGTAGCAGTAGAAAAGATTGTTGATCTTGCATTTTACAGAAATCTTCCACTGAACTGCATTTTGTTCTTGCTTTTAAATAGTTTAAGCATACAGAGTGAGGGTTAGGCTTATTTGAAGTAGCTTTTAAGGCTTGTCATACAGGATGTATTCAAAAGATAACATGACTTTTTAAAAACTGGCAATTTATCTGTAGGATTATTAATAAATCAAGTTAAAGAAAGATAAGGTTAATTGAATTTTTAAACAAGTAGCTGTATTATCCTTCAAGCACCTTGGAGCTCATACAATATTCACACCTTTTTTTTTTTTTTCCTAAGGAGTGCTTTGATATGTTTGAATTCCTTTTTTAATGAGTACTTTCTTTTTAAGTTGCTTAATTACATTAACCCTTAATATGCAAACAGCCAGTCTTGTGCCATTTTCCCTTCTATAGTTTTATTGCCTTATCTGTACATCTGCAATTAGTTACTGTTCCTTTGGAAGTATTTTCAGCCATGAAGCTGCTACGTCTGCTTTTTCTGGTGATGATGATGCTTAGGGCCATTTGACAGGTAATCATTAGAACTTAGATCCTTGCAGACTATGGGGTCTTTTCTCCTATCATTGCAGGGGGATTTATGTTGGTAACTCCTATTAATGTTAATGGGACTTGCATGTGTAAATCCTCCTTGCATCAATGGGAAAATTGACCCCTGAAAAAAAATATCTTCATGTTAGACTTGCTGATTCAGAAACATCCTGTATGGAAATGTGATGGAGTATGTGCTTCATGCCATTTCAGTGAAATGCTCTGAAGAGGACTTGGGTAATTTCCTGGGCTTTTATAATTTATATTGTATGTTATATTTTCTGTACACCTCCAAATCTTGTCAATTCTTTTTATGTAGCTGGTATCAATTTCCTATTTCGTATTCAGGAGGTTGCATGGCTCCTTTTGCTTTGGATCTCATTGTATTTTAGGCCCATCTCTTTCTCTCTAAAGCTTTTTACATCAGCAACATGTTCTTAATGTTCTTAATTTCAAGAGCAATTTGCTAGTAATGTATTGGTTAATGGCAAGTCAGAAGTATTAAAATACTGTTTTCACACAGTAAGAGACTAGGTCACTTACAATCCATAATCTCATCTGTTAAAAGGGTAAAATTAATTTCCTCAACCCTTTTCCAGGCTTGGAGTGGGAAAACATGTGAACTGCCTACTTTCCTTGGGTGGTGGAAAGAAGAAAGAAGAGCCAGACAAATGGAAATAGCTGAAGCAGTGGGAGGATAAAATGAGGGCTGTTTGTCATAACTTCCATACTCTGAGATCAAATAAGTCATGCAATTTTATTTCCACTTTTGCTGTGTGAGATTTCTACATGGTTTCTGACAGTTTATTGACTTTAAGAAAAACTATGTATGCACATTTTGGAATGAGGCAACAATTAACCAAGAGTGGAATAACAACATGTAAATGGAGTAATACCTGGCATATGCACCTAGGAGTTTACGCTACGAGTGTTATTTTTTTGTTTATCTGTGGGTATGTTTATCCACTATTTTGTTGCTCAGTCAATTACTCCTGTAGATCTTTAATATAATCCTCTCCAGTACATTTTAGGTTTTCACTTATCTGACAATTTTATATCAGTAGCACATCATCCCTGTATAAAGTACAAAATCTAGTGTCAGAACTGTTCTGAACTGCTCCAAAGATCTCTCCTAGCTTTTCTGCCATAATGAATGTTCTCTTCGCCCATGAATTACCAATAAGCTCTTGGTGGGTTTTCTGCTGTTGATGCCCTTTTTTATTTCTCCTTAGGATTCTGTGACTGCAATTAATGCAGTTGCTAATTTTCCATGTAAGGGAGCAGTTTACTGAGATCACATAATGAAAATTAATTGATTTTTCTGTATGTGAATACAATTCATAACAGATTTTTTTTTTCAGATAGTATGCATTAGTTTTGTGCCGGTGAATAGATGTTTTATGGCAAAATGAGTAACTCATAAAAGTTTATCATTTAAACTTTTGCAGAAATCAACCACTGTAGAATGTCCAAAAGTTAGAATTACCTGCTGTTACCAAAACTGTCAGAAATAAGTGGGAGAGTTGTGGTGGCAGGGCAGTTGCTTGCATTTCTTGGGTAAGTAGTAATGCAAAGTATTTTTCATAAGGTGTAGAAGTAGTTGTGACACTGGAAATTTGAGACACTGATATAAAATGTTCATCTATTGCAACCCAATTTAATAGTAAGGTTACTTCAATAATCAGATGGAAATCTTAAGTTTGATGGGTATGGTTTCAAGAAAAATTTTTTTTAACATGACAAAAGTTACAAAAGAAGGATCATTTCAGCTGTAAAGGTAAGTAGTAGGTAGTGGTCAGCCATGTTGGATTTTATGTCATCAGCCTCATACCTAGCAAAAAAATTACTTTTGGTGGAAAAAGAGCTTATTAGCCATTCCACCATTACGTTTATTTACAGGCTGTCAGTTTGTAAAAGTGAACGGTTCTTCACAGTCTGAATGGAGAACCAGGTGGGAATGTTGTAAATCTGAATGACATTTGAGATTCAGAAAGCTGACAGTGAAGTATCGGGAAGACACAGTCTCTGACTGCATGAGAGTTCTGGTCAGAGGAGACTGATAGAAAATACTCTTCCTGCCACAATTCTAACAGACCATGTATTTTACACTACTTGCATACATTGACAAAAGAGATGGAAGGTATCAACCTGAGTGTATATCAAGACCCAGATGTATTTGACTAAACAATGGTTGAATAGACAATGGTTGACTCCCAGTGTATATAACGCTGCTCAAGTGGCAGTTTTATGTAGGTGTCTTCTCAGTCTTGGCGAAGAGCTGTTGCAGGTTTTATAACTGGCCAGTATACTGAATTCAGTAGTATATTTTTTCACCTGATTTTAGTTTTTCATATTACCTATCAGTCTGGCGGGGGGGGGTATTCAAAAAAGATTCAAGCATCATGTAGAACTAAAATATTTTCTTAGTGACAATGTGATCTTTTGGTTAGCATAAGTTGCAGGGTGCAAGAAGGTTGGGCTGTTAATACAGATATTGCTGATTTTTAGGAAATCTCAGAACACCCACATTTTTAGATACAGATTTTCAGGATCTTACACTTCCTTCAGAAGTACCACCTCATAATTTATAATATATTTGGGCCTCTGAAGAAGGCTTCAGTGCTGTTCCTCCATTCCCTATGGTTAAGATTTTAGTAAGTGGGGCATACAAAGGCTATGGACGCTCCCTTTGTCCTCTCAAACAGAGGAGGCTTCTCTTCTGAGGTGTTATGACATGATAGTAATCATCACTGGGGTGTGGTAAATGTGGCTTCTGCTTGGACAGCTGCTTTTTGCTGCTCCTACTTTAGGAAGCTTGTTCTCTATTTGAGTACTGGTAGTTTTCTCATTCCTTTTCTTTTGCTCTAAGCATGGAGCAGGACTAAGAAATGCTTTGCTGTTGGAAGTGATTGTTGTCTCAGTTCTGAAGCTGTTAAGTTAGTAAGTCATATGGGCGCAATGATAAAACTTCTGGATAATGTCATACCAGACTGCAGTTCATTGATACCTCAAGGCCTAGTTCACAAGCCATAAAACCAGTGTGGTGTTTGTTGGTAAGCTGGTATTCTGTATCTGAGTTGAATGTCCAGACTGAGGAACAAGTATTTTGATTACTGGCTGACATCATAGCAGCAGCTCAAGTCTATAACTTACAGGAGTCTTCTCTCTAAAGAACAAACAAAAAATCACAACTCCAGACACTCCTGAGCTATGGTTTAGACTATGTGTACATAAGAGACTCTTAATGACCAATGTGGAATTCTGAATCTAGTCTGTTTCAAACCCGAGCATATTTCTGAAGCTCACCCAAGGGAAAGCCATTTAATAATGATGAGAGACCAGCTGTCAGACCAATGTAACGAAACATTTCTCTGCTCTGGGAACTTCTCGGTAGCGTGAAAGTCACTGGAAGTCATGGTTGAGTCCTGTGTTGTGAATAAATTATCCGGTGAATTTAGCCTTTCTTTCCTGTGCAAAAATTTGTGTAAGCTTTGGCTAAGTACCTTCAGGGAATAATTCTTAGACTATGGATTATTCAGAGCAAATCCATTCTATTATTCTTACAGTATTTTATTAGCTAAGTCATGTGATATTTTCCTGCTCCATATTTGGATGCTGAAATAATACCTAAAACTAACTTAAGGAATGTTCATTATTATATCATACATTATATTAATATGTTCATTATTACATCATACAGCTCCAAGAGAGAGGAAAAAAAAAGCTCTTATGCAAAATAACAAAAATGCTATCTACTAGTAAGGAAGCCGTCATGAAATAGCTTTCTTCAGTGACTTGTACATGATGCTTGCATTTCCTTTCCATATAGAAGTATTAGGCCAGGAAACCTTAGATTACTTTCCAGGCTAAGTCTGAATCTGAAATGAGTATGTGAGCACAGTAAAAGCTAACAGCCCCTCAGTTATATTGTAAGGACATATTAAGCTCTGCTGAGATAGAACTTGAAATGCACACTGCATGGAGTACACAGTTAAAAATCTGGTTTGCATCAAATATTTTCAGATGGCCTATTCCAATGTCATCTCTGAAGTGATGTCTGAAAATGCAAGTATGTGCATGGGTGTAATAAAGGAGGGATGAAGCATTACTGAAATGAAAAGTAACAATCAGCAGTGGATGTGTCAACTTGGAATTCAAGAGAAATGGATATGGGTTTTGGCTCTGGCACTGATTTCCTCAACAAACTTGGTTTAGTAATTTCCTTTAATGTCATAGGAAAAAGATGTAAAATGGTGACAGATATTTTCTGAAGCCTTTTGAGAGGTCAATGAAATATAAAAGTATGTATTTGAGAAAGGAAATGATCAGTGTTAATGATAACTGTAAAAATGGATAGCGGTAATACTTGAGTTGAAGCACAAATGAGTTTCTGAGAAACATTCAAATACAACTGTTTCGAAGTGATTGGGATAGCAGATGTTTTGTTAGCCAAGTCCCTTTTCCACCTCTGACATTTTCTGTATTTCACACTTAGAGTTTCACCAATCAGCACAAATTATTTGTTTACTGCTTAGTAAAAATAACAAAATTGTACTTTTTAAAGAACTCTCTTTCTGATTATGTATACTCCGCTGGCAGGTTGTAATGCATATTGCTTCTTTGTTTACTTAGAACTTAATGCTAATGTCATTAACATTCTGTGTGGTAAGTCAGTAGGTTGCCTATTTATAGACATAACAAAAGTTGTAACTTTTTGTAGTAAAGTGCTTTTGACTGTGCTAGCAAAACTGAAGTTACTCTAACCTGACATTAGCTTTCAGTTTCATTGTCCATGGCCTAGTGAGTCTGAAAAATACTCCTACATGTACTGAATGTATTCTTTTAAATTATTAAATTATTTTAGTTATGTTCTATATTTTTAATAGGGTTTGACTCATCCTTTAAAAAAGAAAAGAGAAATAAACCAAATTAAACAGGAATCACAGAAAACTGAGATCTGAAGTTTGAAAACTGTCCTGCTTGAAGACTATTTGGAGTTATAACACTGAATTTAATCAGAATCTTCTCCAAATTTTTTTCTGTGATACTTCTTATAAATCAGGTAATTAATTAGGCAGCATTTCACATTTCAGGTTATTACCACAAGTGTGGATGTGTGCTTTATTTGAGGTTAGAAAGTGTAAAATAACTGCTGAATTTTGTACTCCATGTTGCCTCTTCATTGTAATGAATTTACAGAATTCATTACAATGAATTCTGTAAATTTGTTTCTACACAGCCTTTTTCTAAGCATTTGTAATACCTTGGTTGCATAAATAACCTCATTTTCTAGGAAAGTTTTTCAATAAAAACAGTGGGATACCTGTAACAAAAACTGGTAATCACAGAAATGTGAATGAAGTGTGCTTCAAGGAACGACTAAAACGGTGTTACGTCCCCTGACCTGGACTGTGGCCACAGCAGCATGAGGCCTGACTGGGACACCCCAGCAGCGCAGCAGCAGAGCACATGCAAGGTGAGAGCAGGTATGTCTGTAGGCACAGCTGAGGAAGAGGGTCTGTGTGCCTCCACTCCCTGCTCCTCTCAGCTACCGTGCTGAGGCACCTGGCACCCCTCTCCCATATGCTTGCATTTGTGATGCCTCTTTTGTCCAGTACACACTCCATAACTCCAGAGGGAGAAATAATTCCTTCTTCCTAGGTGGTTACAGCTGTCAGTTCCTTCTTGAGAAAATACAAACAACGAACCAAATCCGTGGTGCAGTGCAATGCAGGATGGCACAAGTGCAGGGCTGGTTTTCTGGGCTTGCTCCTCTGAATTTCCTGAAGCTTTGCCATTGATAAATTATGGCTTTTCTGACCAAGGATGATCACTGCCAAGTGGAAAGTATTGTTATGGCACCTCAGTGTTCAGCCTGTACTTGCTGTTTTCAGCTCCTCAGGAGCTGAAGAGATGAACCAGCTCATCCTGCACAGGGAAAACTAAATGCAGCTCTGGATGTAAATTTTGGAATTTTGTGGATTTTTAGGGGAATACGAGGTAAATTCTGAGTTCTTTTAGGCACTTGTGTGGCTGTCATCCTTGGTGATTTTGCAAAGAAGACTTACGAACTAAATAAGACAAATCTCTGAATTGAACAGTATCTCTGCAGTGCTGGGCTGAGAGAGCCTTCCTCTGGGGAAGCTTGTGCTGCAGTGCTCTGAAGGAGCTTGCTTTACAGTGTTGAGTCTGGTTGGGGTAATGGATGCTATGGTATCATCACACTACAGGGCTTAAACTTAGTGTAATCAATAGATACTTTTCTTGTAAAGCCACTTGAAAAGGTTTTTAAAGGATTATTGGAATTTTTGGATTACCACAGATAAATTCATTCTGTTTCACTGAATTGAATTACAGCATCGTATCTGTTGCTAGTATATTAATAAAATGTATGAAGCCAGCCTTAAAAGGTAGCTCCTTTGTGAAGAGACTTTTTTCTTTAACAATAAGCAGGAAGGATTTTTCAAAGATGTGTATTTTTCCCAGAGTAATGTTGCATACAGACTGGAGATTGCTTCTTCTATTGAATTGCATAATGAAAAATCAATCAGTTTAATGGTTGACAAACTTTGACATTCAAATAAAAATGTTGCTGGTATTTTCATAAAGACCTGTAGGCAAAACTATATTCAGTGACTTTAATTTATGCAATTGTAAATGTCTGCCAAAACATTGTACAAATGACTGTATAATGAAGCAATAATAACTGAGGAAGCAAAGCAAACAAAGGCCAAATTTCTCAGTTTTTCCAAATTATATACTTTTGCAAAGCCTTTCATTGTAAGGTATGTTTCTACAGCATCCTTTTCAACAATATATTCTGTTTTGAAAGCAGTTGCTCAACATCATGGAACACATTTATCTGGCACTGTTGAATAGTATCAGATGATAATGTTTAGTTTTTCTACTTGTTCAGTCTTCTACCCAGGCTGCATTTACTTCTTGACCACTTCTTACTATATACTTTGCAAAAAACAGCTAATAAAAAAGCCTTGTTCATAGTGGTTATTTTATATTTTTCATGTGCCTGCAAGCAAAATAGAAGGATAACAGAAGTCCTTCTGCAAAGGAGAAAAAGAAAACAGCAAAAGGCTTGACAGGCTCCTGGCTTTCCACCTATGTTGGTTGTTCTGTTTTGGGTTTTTCTTTTTATTTTCTTTGATTCAGAGGGGAGAGAATTCCCAGTAAGGTAAGAGGACACCTTTGTTCCTCACTCATTTCTGCTTTTAATGTATGTTTGAACACAGTACTTGGAGGAAGAGCAAAAGGCATGCTGAGCTACGCTATCACTTTCAGCCTTTAGGCACTACCATCCTAGAGCCAGGAGACTGGCTTAATAAATGCCATTAGCCTCTGTGCTCAAGTGTTGTCTAGCCATGAGATTTTCAGTAAGTCCAAGTTTTGGTTGTGACCATGCGCATCAGCTTTGTTGGCCTCTTTGGATGCAGAGTCTGAGTGCTTCATTTGTCAGTAGCAGTGACTGGAAAGTGTTGACTTGTCTTCCTCCTTTTAGCAGTAAGATAGCTCTTACATCTTCTAAGCTTTGCACAACTTCCAACTCCCATTCCTATATGATCTGGGTAGTTTTGTTAATTCTTTTTACTGTAATTAGACTAGTTTGACCCAATTTGTCCTTCTTATCATTTTCCTGTCATGCATTATCCCAAGCTTTGAATACTTTCTTAAATCTGACAAGATTACTAAATGTTTTAGTATACGTATGTGTCTGAATTCAAGATATGAACTAAACTAGATGTAAGTTTTATTGCATTATCTAATCAGGGGGGGGAAATTACTTGTCCTGTGCTGCATTCCAGCTCTCACAAGAGAACTTGGCTGCTGCACAGCCACCTGCCGGTGCGACTTCAGCTTTTGCCTGCCTCTCGTTTGTTTGACTTACAGTTATGTTGTGTTGAGTTCTCAAGGTAGTAACTGTGCCTCTGTTTCAGTAATATCTAATAAACTTCCTGGTGCTATGTTAAATAATGTGCCAGGTGACTCACACGTTCTCACTGGTTACTTGTGTGGTTTGCTGTTCCTTTTCTCAAAGGAAATACCTTTTCATTGTTGGTTCAGGAAGTACATAAGAGTATTCCCTTTTTTTTTCCATGGGATTAATGATAATTATGCTTCTTCTCCACCTTTAACATTCTTCTGATTTTTGTTTTGATATGATGACTCATTTTAAGCATCTCTGGTTTATAACTGGCAAAAACAAATTGAGGAAGTTTGTTGATTTCCCTGTGTCCATAGAAGGAACAAATGGTAGATCCCTGATTAAAGCATTGTTCCCATTTTTATCTTATAGCTGGAATCAGTGTTAAGTTACTCTGTCTTCTATTTCTGTAGTAATCTGTGTGGGTGAACTGCAGCAATTCTCTTATCAAGGAGAAGTCTGTAGTATGTTTTATTCAAGAACTTTTTTTCCATTGCTATTGATATTAATGCCTAGATGGAAGCTAGTATGGTGTCTATTCCCAAGTGTAAAAAGGTTTTGGGCTTTCTGTTGTTGTTGTTTAAATATAGCAACTGTAGTGTTTATTTGTATTGCTGCATCTCACAAGTATTTAATTTTTCTAGGGGCAAAATGTCATGCCATGTTTGCACTTTGTAAAAGCCGTGGCAAGGACGGAGATACAGCCGTGGCTCAAAGTCATGTCCAGTGTGCAAACTGGCCACACTGGACCTGACTCTGGACGCAGAGTCCATGAACTCTGTTCTGTTGCAGTAGAGTTCTGGGGCTTTTCCACTCTCTTTTTGAAGCGGTATGTGGTAGGATTGTGAGCTACTGAAAACAAAGCCTGTTAGCTGTCCTTGTATCAATCATAAGCAAGAGAGCATGTATATACTCGGGTATTTCCCTGTCATGGATGTGAAAGAACTCTTAAGGCATAGGGGTTTGGTACTTAAAAGCTTAAGCAATTACTCATGAGGACGCAAGTTTTTCTCAGTGTTTAGAAGATTTATGTTTCCTGTTGACACTTTGCTGCATGAAAGGAGCATGCATGTTGCATCTAAAGAGCAAGACAGTATTTGCTGTTTACTGTAAGATGAAAATATGCATTAAAAACTCTAAAAGGAAATACAAACTTAAGGCAGTAACTGATTGACATCTGTGGATGTCATTTTTCTCTTGTGATTCTGGCATTTCATGCCTTGCTAAATATCACCCACAGCTATCTGTTGGATGTGTCAGTAAGCGATACAGTATGACAGCTGCTCTTCACCACTCCACAGCATCAGTTCATTCAGTAATAAGCTTGCATGTGTTTTTATCTTTGTTGTCTCTTTCCTAACAGTTCAAAATAAAAATAGTGTTTGTAACTGATACTGAATTCTCCCCAGTCCTAAGGTCTGGAGTAAGCAACCCTGTGCTCTAAGTTATTAACAGTAAGTCTTCTCTTCTTCCGTGGCATGGTGCTGTAATGTACATGAAGTTCCTACAAGCACATTGTGCATTCTTAACAGTCACATTCTGAGCATTACTTATTCTACTAGCAATATAAACGATAACCTATTGTTGATAGGTAACATTGCATTCTGTACATAATATGTTTACAATAGATGTATGGATATAAATGCTGAGTTCCTATTCTGAAGTTACCTTTTTTTACTGGTGATTAATAGTTTGGAGTGTTATATGAGCCCTCTTCATATATATGATCATTGTTACTTGACTGATTTTAGGAGAATAACATATTTATTCAGTTTATGTCAAGAAATACAGCAAAATCGTGCAGTCCTTACTAAAATCTCTTTACAAATACAGTGTACTTTTAAAATTATTATATGCATTCTGGATTGTTTATGATTCTACCACTGTTGTTGGTTAAAAAAAATCTTTAAAAGTTATTACTATTTTTACTTATAAAGTATATATTATAAAGTAAAATCTATTTTACTTGTAAGTAATGCAATGGCTTTGATATATTTCTCTTGCTAATGCTGTTAAGCAACACTTGCCAGTGATTGGCTGTATCATTTTTATAATCACTATAGCTATAGTAAGTGTGGTAATCTAATATATCTGAATATAGTATATCTAAAATACAAGGGGTTTTCCCAAAGTTCTAATTTAGAATGAGATGCCTGACTTCAGTCAGAGAAGAGGCAGGTATCAAATGCTTGCTTTTGCCTTTGAAAGCTTACCCCTAAAACTGTTTCTGGCAAATGAAGTGATATGCACAGTATCTTGCTTTTTTTACTTGACTCAGAGCTGCTCAGTTGCAGCAGATTTGCTGCTGCAGACAGTTGTTGGGAAAAATCAGTTGGATGTTATGGTAGATGCCTGTGATTTTTGAAGCAGAAGGACTGAATTCTGTCATTTACAGCTCCAAAGTTCTGAGTACCTTAATTTTCAGACTCCTACATCTTTGAAATTGTACGTGGTGCAGATTTGCTTAGGTCATTCTTAAAAAAAATGTCTTCAACTATAAGGGCACCAATGTCCACAGAATATGAAAACGTCAGTCAGAAAGGCTAAACTTCTAATGTGTTGATTTGCATGCTCATGTAATTTACACTAAATACCAGGGGCTGTATAAGGTAACAAACTAAGAAATGAGATTGATACTGCTGATCTACAAAATGGGTCTGTTTAATGAAAGGCAAAATGTTACTGAGCTGAGACTGCTGTTGGCTTTAAATGCATGTAATTCCCAATACACCAACAACTAACCAGTGGATATTTCAGATGTTATATGAGTGGTAAACATTTATTTTTCCTTACAGTGATGTAGTTCTGGGTGTACTCAGTAAGCTTTCTGTAATGGAGGACAGTGATTATTTATAGGAAAAATTAGTTGTAGTGGGGTTTTTGCATACCACCATCTTTTTTGTTCATTGCCAAAATGTAAACTTACCATGTAAAAGCAGAGAATAATTGTAGTGAAAGAGAAAACTGGTAAACACTGAGATAAATGATGACAAAGAAATTGGGGTTTAGCGTCAGTTCATCTCCTGCCTGAAATAGAGCAGGAGTTGCATCAAGTAGGGTTCTTCAGGCTCTAAGCTACTTGTTCATAAGATACTGTATCATTTGATTTTCATGTGAAAAAAACAGATCCTGCTTACATCTTCAGTCTAATGGACTCTAAGTGAAGCTTACCTGTAAAGAGGTGGTTGGGGCTTATCTCAGTTTTATTTTGGCTAAAATTAATCTTTTATTTAAACGTACTTTAACACCAGAAAATTCAATTCTGTTGGGCAAGGAATATAGCTTAAAAGATATTTTTGAAACTCTGCAAGAGGATATATTCAGCCCTTTGTGTCTGAGTTAAAGGGAACAAGTTCAGAACTGCTGGTTTTCTAAATCCGGCTTCAGTTTGTAAAGCCATTCTAGATTATTCTGTAGGTGGTGGTGAAGTTGAAGCTTCATAGCTAACTAACCACCAGCACGCTAGTATGTGGATACATCGCAAGTAATTAAAAATGAAGCAACAAAACTTTCTTGCTTCTTCCTGACTAAAGCGTGCTTTCTCAGCAGTGGAACTGAAGCAGTTTGCTAACCTCCAGCACTTGTGTCAGCAGCAAAATTGAAAGTATTTTTTGTCACCTGCACTGCTGTCAGGAGGGAAAAAAAAATAGAAAGTAGAGGAGCATAATTTCAGCACTAACATAAGTATCAGAATGATTTACCTGTCTGTTCTGCTTCACTTTCATCTCAGCTTTCAGGGCTTCATTCATCAATCTTTTATTTACACACGCATATCTCATTTTTACACAATTTCTTTCTCCCTGACCAGATGGCTGCGTTATCTGCTTGGTGTTCATCAAAGAGAATGAGAAAATACACGGATGCGTAGTGTCATCTGGGTAGGATTTGGCTAACTCTGTTTTTCAGCAGCAATTTTGTAAGTATTCAGATAACGAAAAGGAACACTTTGGTTCAGAAAAATACCACACAATTCTCAGACTTTTAAATGCATTACTTATTTTAATCTATATGAAAATATCTTAGTCTAGGCACCAGGTTTATTTCATCACACACAGCCATTTAAGTGGCAATAGTAGGATTAATATAAAACTGAAAGCTGATAAAAAGAAGGAGATGCATCTTAAGATTAAGAATTCTTTCAGTGCTTTTTTTTATTTGATAAATTAAAAATGTGTAAAATAGCTTTAAATAACATATACAGTTGCTATAGTGGTTCAATTTATATTTCATCTGCAGTATCCATTTTGGCTGCATACAGTTGTGGTTTCAGAACAAGCTTAGTGAGTTTGCTTGCTATGAGCTTTTCTTGAAAAGTGTAGATAGAATGTTTTAGGAAGAAGCTGCTTCTATTCTTGTAGTGCTTTCAAATCTTACTCTTATTCTAACTTTTTGCAAAACTGTTCTTTCCTAATTTCATGTAACCAGTCTTTTCTGCAGTGTGTTGTGTTGCATTCTTAGCTTCTGAAGTTCTGTTCACATATAAATACAGCCTTTAGAATTTAGCTGTAGTGTGATCCATTCATTTTTGCACTTTGTTTAATATACACAGTAGAAATAAGTATTAGTAATCAGGTTTCCATTTTTTATGAGTCACATCACTAGAAATTAGATACTTTCCAAATGCTCATTTGTGTATTTTTTTACCAGACTCAGTTTCTAGTTTTCATTTGTGATTGAGTGGGCATTTCTTATAGGCTGATTAACTTGACTAATCCCAGGCAAAGAATGGAAAAGAAAAAGTTTGTAGGGAATTCCATTCCTTTTGACAGTTAGCATTGTATTATGGATGTATTATTTGATGAATTTTATATAATTCTTCATTATTGAAGTTCATAAAGGTGTTTTTACAGATGTAATACATATTTTAGATGAAAGTCACTAGCTTTGCTAGAACACGAGATGATCAAAGTATTCTGAATAGAACACATGTAAAATGGACTTAAACCAGGTAAGAGACTTCACAAATGACTGAACAACAGGAAATAGTCTTTGAAAGGCAGTATTTCTGGCAGGGTTGAAAAGTATTATGTTCTTCAATATTGTTATCAATAATGTAACATAAATATTGTACTACCACTCAGAACATTTGCCAGTGACAAAATTATTATGGCTTAATAAGCATTGACAAGGACAGAGCCATTATGCATAGTAATACAGCTTGTAATGGTAAGCATTGGCCATTATAATAAACTACATCTTAATGCTTCTGTAGTCAAATGTGCTCTTGTAGGACAGGGAAAATAGTGTCCATTTTGGAGTTATAACCAATGTCCAGGAAGGAAGTGACTTTGAAAATGCTTTAAAAATAATGGTAGTAAATGACTCAACAGAAAACTCCCAGCAAATGCTGTATAATATAGCATAAATTTGATAATAATATAAAAATTATTTTTTGCACTGTTAGTATGAGGTGAGTATGTTTTCATTTTTGATTTTGCAGTGTGTTCTCATTAATTCTGGCATTTAAATTGTAAACCATGTTGAAGAACTTGCCAAATGTAGAGAAGAGCTTCAAATGTGAGTCAGGCTAGAGAAACACATGCAGATCAGGGACTTCAAGGTTGGCTTGCTGAGCTACTAAAAAAGAACTTAATAGTATAACTGTTAGTGTACAAATAACTTCATTGGATCAAGGTTTGTGTTCTAAAGTCTCTTTAATGCAAACACAGGAAGGACTAGATCTCAAGCAAAGCAAATTCGTAATTGAAAACTGTGAAACAAGCAACCAGAGAAAGTGATAGCTTTTCTTTCTCAAGAAGTCTTCAAAGTCTGAAAAGCGTGTGAGCCCCCACAAGGCATGTAACAGACTGCTGGAAATAAAGACTGAAATTCTGTGACTGCAACACAGAAATCAGAATAGCTTACTGAAGTGAATTTCTGCTCTTAAAGGTAAAAATATGTGGTAATTTCTGAGCATTATTGTCCTGATTACAGAGATGTGTTTAACTTACCAGTTAATTTACTGAAAAAGTGTGCTGAAAAATGGGTGGAGAAAAGCAGTGCCTCAGAACAGCAGTCTCTCAGGAGACACTGGAGGAGTTGAAGGGAAATGTCTGTGGTGATTTAATCTCTTTTACAACAACCTACAAAACTGTTTTTACTTAGACTGGGAAAGAGCTGATGGACATAAAAGAGTGCAAGAAGCTGAGCAGAATTGAAAGAGATTTTCTGTTAAATGAGAAACAGCAGTCACTGAAGTGAAGCTAAACTGAAACATAGCCCTCTCTTCTCCTTTTATTCTTTCCACTGAGATTGCCTAAAGAAGGAACTTCTGCTTAAATTGGAATGTAAGAAAAATATGCGTTTAGAGCATTTATTGGTTTAATATTTTTAGAAGTTTTATATTTACTGTCAAAGATGCCTTTTGACTCTGAGGTCTGCTATGCCAAATGCTGAAATGTAGTCAGGCTTCAAGCTTGACACATACAAAATTATGGTTCAGGGCTGAAACTTGGAAAGAAATACTAAGTTCTCCCAATATGAAACAAGGGGATGGAGATTGCAGTTAGCCAGTGTCATGATTACTCCAGTTTGTTTTCAAATTCCCCGTGCTCTGTTTTGGTCTTTGTGACTGAAAACATAATGTTAGAACCCCAGATGCTTAGTCCATCTTTCTGTACAAGCACTTTGAAGTTCAAGAAAAACAATTGCAACTCTAGTTGTAAATGGTCACAAGATACATCTGTGACATTTATTTTAACTACATCTATTGTTTCACATTTTTTCTATGGAAGGATTTTTAAAATGAATCCGTTTTAAAAAACGCAGAGCACTAGTTTCTTGTAGTCTCTGTTGGAGGATTGAGATTTTCTTTCCTACTTCTGCTAGAACTGCATAGGAGTTGTAATATCAATTTCTGAGTAAAGGTATAAGAATTTTGAACACTTTAAAAGGCTCTTTCCTACCTATAGAGATGTAACATACAGCTTTAGAGTCCTGTTTTCTCCAGTGTCTGTAGGAAACACTGCCATCTGGAGAGAGAAGGAAGAGAACTGTGTTACACCTGATGGCAGGAAAAACTAAAAATTCAGAGTTCAGCAAGTGACATGGGACACATATTCTTGGGGCAATCTAATAGGCTGTGAGGACAGCAGGGCATCACTTACACAAGAGCAGGACAACTGTGATTTTGTTGATGGAGTGTCCTCAGCAGGGCATCTCAAGTTTCAGGAATGGTCCATGCTAACAATAGCTATCTTTCTGAGGCTGTGAACTGCCCTGAAAATGAATATGAGCCCTTGCAGCATAGAAATGAGGAACTTCAATTTTTGCTGAATCATTTTTCTATGTCTTAGAAGAGAATAACCATGATAAATGCAATGCAGTAAAAGAATAGGAGCTTCTGGAGTTCATGCATATCAATAAGTTCCAAAACTGCTATTCCTCCATCTTTATTATGATATAAAAGCTATCAAAATCCAAATACCTCCTCTCCCACTTCCTTTCAACATTATGGAGCTTAGTACAAAGCATAGTTGGTTAGTTTGATAGTATTTTTATAATATAGTTCGAAGTACACATCTGTGCATGATGCACACTTGCAAACCTCATAAATAGGGCTGATATCCCCATTTCTGAGGACAGAAAACTCAACAAGGAGGTTGTGACCTGACCAAAATCTCATGAGATTTAGGTATCTTAGGTACCAAAGGCTAGCTTAGTCCACAGATTCGGTACCACAAAGCCCATAAAATCAAAAGTTTTCAACTTAAGGAAAAACATCTGAAGCAGAAAACTATATGGGAGAGAAAACATTAAATAACTATTCAGGATGGTAACTGTAACTTAAATGATCCAGAGAGAGAGGTCTTGGCACATCTTTGAAACTGTCAGCTCAGTGTTACTGCTATGCCCAGTGGCCATTCATAAAGAGAAATATAAAACTTAAGAAACAGAAAACAAATAGCGAGACACTCTTCTGCTAAAATAACTCCTTACTAGTGATGAAGTTCACATGTATTGGCTCAGAAATAACCCTATTTCCAAAAGCATTTTGGAAAACCAGAAAAATTGTAAGAAGACAGTGAAATAATAGGCAGTTTGGGGGAGGTTCCTCACAAGGATGGACTGAAGAGACCAGAATTTACAGCTTGCATGTGTGCAGGGCAATCTAGCAGAAGGCCTCTTAAGATCATAAAAGTTTGGAGAAAATGTTTAGAAAATAATATTTAGTAATCTTTTCATAGCAAAAGAGATATCAACGTGCCAAGGCACTGTCAGGAATGGAAGAGGTTAATATTTCTAACTGTGGAATGAGTTTGGGCGTTTCTTTCAGTTGATTATTATTTTTCCTTCCAGAAAAGCAGTGGCTATTCATTAATCAGAGAAGTGGAATAATTAAAGGGTCTGCTCAGGAGAATGTGAGTAGACAATCACTTTTAAGCTGGTTTTAGTTCTTATGGTCTGACTTTAACAGTAGAATTTTAAAGCTGTTTAGCAACGTAGATATATTTGCCCTCCAGAGTGCTAAGAATGTTAGGGTATTGAATCTTGATCATAAACCCAGATTCTGTATTTCTTATGTGAAGGGGTTTTTCTTAAGAAGTTTTCACTTGGTTTGCAGAAGGCATTTACTAAGCTTTTCAGGTTAGATCTAGTCATAAGAAGACAGGACACACATTGTTTAGGAATGATAGCTAGTTAATCATTATCTTTTTCCTAAATTTTCAGATCTTTTTTATGACAGCTGCAGTGTCCTTAACTGCTAATTCAGAGAAATTAAGAAATCCAGCCACAAGAATACATAAGTGCTGTAAGTACCAGCTAACTATTTATCTCTGCTAGTGTACAGTAGTATAATAGATTATGTATGGATATACTGATTACCACCATATGATTATTGGACAAATTACTTATGATCAGTGCTTTTCCAGTGAATTCAAACACACTGCTGCTATTACTGTACACTAAGCCAAACAGTTAAATGACTTGTTCTGGAGTTGTCAAATGCCAAAGAAGTCGCTTTTCCTTTATAGAGCCATTCACATGATTAAAAACTTCTTGTGTGTTCCTGGAATTCCTAAACTCAACTCTTCAGTCACTATAGGATTAGCATGACTTTTTTTTTTCTTCAGTGAAACTAGATTTAGTGACATCCGCACAGAAGATCAAAACTTTGTTTTGGTTCAGATCTCCATCTTTTTTTAAATGTGAGTGGATAAAAGAATTCCAAAAGCTGTGGATTATAAAAAGATGGAACATGTCTGTGTCCTAAAACTGCCATATATTAGGCATAAGGACTGTTGACAGGCTGTGATGGAAACCTGTTATTTCAGATTATAAAATAGCCTAGCCAACCATAATTGCTTTGATTTTAGGATAACTCCAAAAGAGAGTAAGGTAAAATGAATAATTCTGTGTTAGGCAGAGCATTATCAGACAGCATTGCGAGGCAGAAAGGAAAGAGGCTAGAAATAGGGAGGGGAGAATGTGCAGTGATATGGCCACTATTTCTTATTAAAACAAACAAAAAGCCATTGAGGAGACAAACTGCTACTTGATTACGGTTGTCATTCTTGATTACACGAATCTTTCATGTGTTGTAGTATGCTGTTGTCAGTCACAGCTGCTATTGGATGGTTCCCTACTGAAATCTGCATAGATGCTTTTTAGGATCTTTGTAAAGACTTTTAAGACGCATTATTTTTAACATCCAGGTCTACATTAGATGCACAGCTTCTCTGAGTCTTAGCTGGGGGATTATCATTCTTCTAAACTACCAAAATGCTGATAACCCACCATAGGATTTGTCTGGAGACAGTATTTCAGAGAAATGTTTTCTATTAAGTAGCAAGGGTTTGGTTAAAAGGATATCCTATAATCATCTTCTAACAAAAGAATTATCTTGAAGAGATGTAGGTTGGGTTTTCTGGGGGGGAGTTCAGATATAAAATCTTCCTAAAAATTAATTGGTACAATTGTAGATGTTAACAATTTTTTCTGTAGTAGTTCCATGTTAATGCTGGTAAGGTCTTTATTTCTTGTGATGTCTGTCAGCAATGTATTTCACAGATTAAGTACAGTTCAGATTTGTTTAAAAAGGGGAGGGTGGTGGTGTCAGCTTTAAATATACTTCCTTTCAGTGTTCTGCCTCTGTTATGAGAGTAAACAGAAGCACATAATTTACCTTCTTAAATGTTCTCTTTTTTATCTCTTCATCATGTCTTCTCTTACTCGTCTTGACTTTAAAGAAAAATATCCTATTTTTCACTTTTTTTTTTTTTGTAACTTTGATCATTTTTGTTGATCTTCTTTACAGCCTTTTGGTCTGTTCTGTCCTTTTGTTTGAATGAGTATGACCAGAACTGAAGCTAGTAATTGAGGGAGAAAGCTGTTTTACTCATTTGTAAAGTAGGCTTCTAAGAACTTACCTTCTGATGGCAAAATAAACTTACTTGTCTGAGAAAAAGTATCTTTAAAATTCCTGATGCTGCTTTGTAAGCTCTCGGGTTAGTATTCTTCTTAGATTTACAATACTGAATAGCTCATTCTTACTGAAAGACATTTTCCTACTATATGTATGTTTAAATAGCTTTTTAGATTTGAAAGAAATAATGTAAACTGTTTCCTTTAAGGAATTCAGGGATTGGGCTCCTACATGTATGTATGGATGGATATGTATTTTAACTCGTATCCGTTGCTTTTAAAT